TGGGCTCTACAGAAATCCCTTAAGTGTTTACTTGTGACAGGAGCCATTACCCTCCTTGTGAAGAAAAATGTAAAACTTAGTGAAAATGTATGTGAAAATTAACCAGCAAGAACGTGAAGGAAGGGGAAGGGGAAATGGATTTCTTGTCTTCTACACCCAAAAAGGAGAAATGATAAACATGAAAAGCCGGAAATCCGTCTGTGATCGCAGGCCATTTCTGGCTGAATTTAGGCATAATGTTTTAATCGCTATTCCAGGCTAACCATTACTCGGTATGAGATCGCTTACTTGCTAAAATATCGCAGTCAAATTATGATCAAGTTAAACTACCATTTTTACTGAAGGGAAGCCCATGTAAAGGCGACAGAGATACTCGTCGAAAAAAATTCAAAGGGACCTTTAACCTTTAACCCCCTCATTGAAAAACATCTCTTCCCATCCCTACACGACATCGATCAACCTCAGCCACATTTGCGCCACGGAAATTTATGTCGAAAGAAGAAGTCATAAGAAAGATTCATTTTGTTTAGTGGTAACTCTGGTACATAGTGAGTCACGGTTAAACTAACTAGTAACCGTCGTTTACTGCGACGTGACATACAAGAAACTATAGAGTTTCTTATCAGGTATAAACTGGCTTGTAGTGAGTTAATTATATTTAATTTTTAATTTTCTCCTGCCCTCCCAGTGAGTGGCGCAATGTTCCGTGAGCTTGAACAGTTTTCTAATGTCTCGGAATGGGAAACTTGGTCGATAGCTGCTTTTATGGTATTTATTTGCGCGAGGTAAGCCTCTAATTAAGGTGTCATACCTATTGTAGATTTCGGGCTCACTGAAGCGAATGCATCGAAACCATTTATGGATTGGTGTTACTTTATGTGAAAACCTAGCTTTGTTTCATACTGACTGGTCATGCATAGAGGTTTTGGTATAACGTAGACAGCTTGAGTCGCATATGAATCGCTTCAATTTTCTTACACTACCACACATCAGTGTAGTCGAAAGCATTAACTACTCAGTTACTAGAAGGGTTTCTTAACGGTTAACGGCGTTTGATCGGAAATCGAAAGAATGTTGTTTTGATTGTGGCTTCGCATCACGAGCTGATCTCGAGTACTCTGATCTTCTAAAGCGGTAAAAACACAAAAATATTCACAATAGACAGATTTCAGATGTATTTAGTTAAATAAAACTAGCAAATTGGCATCCAATGGTTTACTGAAGATGTACTGCGTAGTAAATAATCAACAGTGCAATAATGACTGCTGGAATGTTCTAAAATGGTTGGTGTGACAGGGGGGCGGAAAGGTGGGAGTGAAGGGGGCGGGTACTTAATTGGAGGCGAGAGAGGAGAGGGTGAGAAGGGGGGATTCCTATAGGAATGCGAAGAAATAGAGGGAAATATTCTGCAGTATTTTGCAATAGAATAACGGACCAAGAGGGATGAACCACTAAGAAAGTTGGAGGGACCTAGCGGGGAAGGGGAACCCGAGTTAAAGGTAATGGGAAGCGAGAAAATCAAAACCCCTTACGCCTCCCCCACCCCGCCCCCCATGCTTGCATAAAAAATAGCCACCGGTTTAAGTTGGCCAGAGGTGCTAATATCGAGTGCTTAATTATGACAACACGATAGTTTTGATTTGAGAGAGATGTTTTGATTTGACTCTCACACACAAAAAATAAACTTGTACCTTGTCTTCAGTGTGTTCATTGAGTTGCTATATATAGATCTTGTTTGTCAATCACTGCACATAAGCGGTAAAAACGTGACCGTAAACGTAAAACAGATCCACATGCACGATTTGTCGCGTTCAGTCATCAAGACTTAAAAACGTTCAGTCCGGGAGTATTTAACCTGAGAAACTATCTCTTCTTCCTACGGCGGATAGATCTCCGGCGAATAGGTCTCCGCGAAGAAACGATCTCCGCGAAGAAAAGGTGAGACTGAAGGAGAAGAAAAGAGAGTAAAAAGCAAAAGGGAAGACAAGGGAACGGAAGAGAAGTTAAGAAGAAATCCGATAGGAAATCAAGCAATTTCAATTTTCAGTGGACAAAAACCTGGAGAATAATTTTAGGTATTTTACAGTCCTTTTTAACATTTTCTTAAAGCTGAAGATAGGGTAGTTGCTTGAAATAACACGGAAAACAATTTCCAATGGGAACTCGAGAAAATACATTTCAAAGTTCAGAGAAATTGTACAAACACAGGTAAAATTTCATCATTTTTTCAAGTGTTTCATACGAAGTTCAAAACATGTTTTCGACGTTTCTTGTTGTTAGAAATGATTTCTTTTTTGAGAAGATATATATTTAAAACAGTCGCACAGAAGTTTGCAATATGATATAAACAAAGTT